CACAAATAGGGTCACGTTCACGGGTTCTGGGGCATGGATGTAACTTCCGGGAGCCACATTTCCGCCCCCTTCACAGGGCGGGGAAACTTCTAGAAGAGGCAGGCCAGTAGAGCCCAGTCTCTCGAGAGGGAGCGAGTGAAGGAAGGACAGCAGGGTCCGGATTGGGGTACGTGAGAAGAGAGGTGGACACAGTCCCGGCTAGAGAGACAAACGGGGCCCCACTGGGAGCGTGAACTCGGTCCCAGGCCTGAGGTGCTCTTGGTGGCGGGAGGGTGGACGTGGGCTGCAGTCTGGGGAGGGAAATTCTGTTTTAAGTTTAAGAAGAACTTTCTGATGGACAAGAAAAGGCTCGAGGATAAGGCATAATCCTGAAAGAAAAAAAAACACTAAAAATGTTTTCTCTTGGTTTCATGACTTGAGCATTTATTTATGTCCAAACGACAATGGACTCTCGCAGGTCCCTGGGCTGTCAGGGTACCGGCTGCTCCAGGTGGGGGAATGCGGGGGAACCTCACAGCTAAAGGCCATTCTGGGGTGAAGGTCAAGCGCACGCCCACCACGGAGATTCTCTCTCCAAACTGTGGGCGAAGACAGCGGGACGGGGCTCCTCTAGTGTGACTCATTTTGTGGCACCCTGAAGCCCCAATACCTTCGGCCTCCTCCCTTGCTCTGTCCCTGGGGACAGAACTGCCCCGAGGTGTGGGGGAGTGGCAGCTCCTTCCTCGGCGACAGAACGGAAGCTCTCGCGGATGCCTCGGATTCCAGGCGCCGCCGGTCCTGTCTGACGAGGGCGCGTGTCACCCAGGCCGCGGGCTCCGTCTTCTCTTGATTCTGCTTTGAAGTTCTTACGAAAGGTCGCGTCGTGCCTGCTCTTTGGCCAGATGCGCACGTGGCTCTCGGCCAGACTCTGACTTCTCTGTCCCTGGGATGCGGGTGTCCAAGGCCGTGACTCAACACATTCCGATCAAGCCGCGGAGAATCAGCGTTGGGGCGGCTGCCCGACTGAACTACGCTTCCAGGCCTTTCTTGGAGGATCGGAGTCCATTGTGTGCAAAAGACCCCCAGACGGAGGCGGCACATGGTCCTCCAGGAGATGCCTCCAGAGCTTTCCTTTGCCGTCCTCTCAGCTGGGGGAAGACTGGCTGTGGCGTTCGCAGTCGCGGCACCCTGGCCGAGCTGGGTCTGACTGCCTGCCCTACTCCTCTGCGTGGACAGCGGCCCATTGCTGGAGCCCCCGCTCCACCCTGCCTGCAGCCTGGGGCACCGCCTGTCACGGGGCTCGTCCTGCCACGGGGGCAGCTGGGGACCCGGGTGAGGATGGGCCAGTTGCTTCCCATGTTGGAGCCCACTCATTGCTTCGTCCGTGCCTGTGAGATCCCCCCGCACGGGCTGAGGAGAAGACACTGGAGCCCGGCACTGCCTGGGTTCAAATCCTGGCTCAGCCGTCTCCTAGCTGACCGTGGTAGGCTGTATTTCTGTTCACACGTATTCGGCGACCCTCCTTGCAGTCGGATGACGCATCGCTGCGCCGATGAACTGCTGAACTTTGCGTGGCTGACTTGCCCTAGGAACTCCTCAAGGGGGTCAGGCACCCCGCCTGAGGTCGCACAGCCTGTCACGGTGGAGCTGGGATTTGAACCTTTCCCCTCGCAGCCCCACCCCCTTCCCATTGAGGGTCTAAGAGCCACACTCCCCCCGCCCAAGCCCCACCCAGGTGTCAGCCTGCTCTGGCGTTGACAGCAGGGGCAGACGGGCAGACGCCTCCATCGCTGCCTTGGTGTGAGGCCGGGGCTGCTCCCAGGACCGCGCAGAGTCACCATGGTAACATCAGCAGATGACATCGTGCCAGGCCCTTTACAAGGCTCCTCCCATTTAGTCCTTACATGAACGTGTGAGGTCAGTGCTGTCGTCATGGACTTGTTTTACAGAGGAGGAAACTGAGGCTCAGAGTGGTGACGGAACCAGCCAAGGATTCCCCGGCTGGTAAGCCACAGACCTCGGATCCCGGCCTGAGCCCAGAGCTGAGCCTGCACGGCCACCTGTTCCTCATGGGTCATCTGGTGCCAGCCTGTTCTGGGTCCTGCTTTTCTCTCTGTTCTATGGCTCACTAAGAAACGGGGAACCGGGAGCCTGTACCGAGGACAGCCCATGCGCAGGGAGGCTGCAGGAGACCTCTCCCCAGCCAGGGTGATGCCCTGGGGCTGGGCCCCCTCCCCAGATAACCCCTGGGGTATAAATGCCCATGGGAGGGAAGCTGAGACGCAGAAGCATCCCCAGGGGTCAATCAGCTAGGAGCAGCCTCCCCGAGGGCACAGAGGTTGACACTCTGAGTACCTGTGCTTTCGCCGGAGCATGAGGACGGGATGGTTCGCTCCGCCTGCACCCCAGGCCAGGCACAGTGCTGGTCACGGTTAGGTGTATTGCTTTTAAGAAAGAACACAACTTTCTCGGCCTGCCTCCCATTGAGAGGTGGGGTCCCTGTCCCTTCCCCTTGACCCTGGGGGGCTTAGGACCACTTCCCCCAATAGCATACAGTAGGAATGGTGCCACGCGACTTCTGAGGCCAAGTCAGGAAAGCCACACAGCTTCCTCCTGGCTCAATTGGGACGCTGGCTCTCGGGAAAGCCAGCCACCCTGTAAGAAGTCCAGCAACCCCAAGGCCGCCATGCGGGCGGGGCCACATGTGAATACGCCATCCACAGCCCAGCTGAGCTCCTGGGCGCCAGCCAGCAGCAGCTGCCAGCCCCAGAAGAGGGCCAGTGTGGACATCCGGCTCGCCCAATCTGTCCATGACCAAACGAGAGAGCCCTGCAGGTGAGAACCGCCCGGCTGAGCCCTTCCTGGATGCCTGTCCCACCACATCAAGGACAAGATGAAATGGCTGTTGTTTTACACCATTTAGGTTCATTCGGTAATTTGTTACACAGCAATAGTAACTGGAACAGCTGTTGAATGAGCAAATAAATTCAGAGCGTATCTAAGCAAGGCCCTATCGGTGGGGCAGCCAGGCTTCGGCAGGGGCAGGCCCCAGTGGGGCAGCTCCAGGTGCATTGCCAAGCACCTGCTAGGTGCTAGGTCCAGGGTTAACGGGAGGATAAGAGGTAAACCTTCTCTGCCTTTGGAGATCTCACAATCCCATCAGACCCTCCAGCAAAGGCCCAAGCTGTACTTATTCAAGTTAAAGCCAAACTCCTCGACTCATGAGCCAAACTCCTTAGCTCATATAGATGAGCTGCTCCAGGCCCCGGGCCACCCCTCCTGGAGCCTGTGTCCACACTCCCACCCCTTCACCCCCTTTGCCCACCTCACTCCTCTGCTCCCTGAGTTTTCAGCTCAGGTGCCACCTCCTCAGGGAAGCCCTCCTTGATACCTCAACCAGGTCCAGGGCCTTTGCAATCTTCTCTTATAAAACCTGGGCTTATTTCTCAGAAGGGGGCTTATCCTCAGCTGTAACTGTGTGCCCACTGGTGGGACAAGCTGATTAATATCCCTCATCCCTGCAAAACTGAGCCTCGTCGAGGGCGGGGACTGTCTGAGTTCATTCACCACTGGGATCCCATAATGAGGCCAATGTCTGGCACACAGTAGGTGCTCAAGAAACATCCGTCCACACTCACCCTTCAAGATTCCACTCACAAGAGGAACCCACGGGAGGGAGACGCAGGCCTCCCCATCCCGCCTGCCCCAGGTCAGGTCACTTCTGCAGCCATCTGGACAGGAAAAGGTGGCATTTGCTCAAGTCTGGCACTCTGATTTCCAGGTCTGGATGGAGGCCCCATTTGTATTTGCAAAGCTCCCAGGGATCCTAATTCACAGCCAGGGCTGAGACCACGGGCCTAGGGGCAGATTTGAGAGAGCCCTCCGATCTTTCTACACCACCCCCTATTTGGGACAGGGAGTAGGGTGGGCGGTGAGCCCAGGGTAGGGCCCAGCAGGCCAGGGAGGCCAGAGTGCACGAGAGTGACATGAAGATGTACCCCTTCTGGGCCCAAGTTCTGTGGCTGTAGCTAAAGCTCACATGCTGGGAAGCAAGAGACCTAGTTTACCTCCCTCTGTTCTAAGTATAGAAAAAAACACAAGCCCACAGAGGTGACGAGAACTAGTGGCAGGCATGAGGTGATAACACGGTGCCCTTACAGACGCCCTCTGCAAGCGTAATCGTCACTGCTCCTTAAGCCTTCCCATGCAATAGGCAAGGTTGTGGCCCATTTTGCAGATGCGGAAATCGAGGCTCAGAGAGGTTAACTGACTTGCCTAGAGCCACACAGCTGTGAACAAATGAGCAGGTATTAGAACCCAGACATGGCTGGGACAGGACAGGGTGGGATAGTGGCAACCCTCAGGCCCCATGCCCTGAGCAGCTCAGCCCTGGCCTTGGCCTTGCCCACACCACGTAGGATTCCTTCCTGCTCCGATTTTGGCTTCTGCCCTCTCCCTGCACCCGCCCTGCCCCACACGCCGCTGCTGCAAGCCCGGTCGCCTGTGCGTGTAAAACTCCTCTGGCCTGATTCTCAGTTCCCACAGGATGCGGTGTGCTGAAGTCCAGTTTCTCAGCTCTAGGGCAGCCTCGGAAAGGGTGTCACGGCCAAGCCAAAGGAGACGCTTTCTCTTGGCTTTTCCTGAAAAGGCAGAGAGGGGTGTTCCGGCCAGTCAAGAAGAATCACAACCTGTGGTCACGTCCCTGTCCCAAATCCAGGGCCTCCACACTCCCCTCTCAAGCCACAGCTCCAGGAACGGCAGGAGACCTGGGTTCAAGTCCCAGCCCTGCCGCTTTCTGCCTGGGTGATCTGGGGTGAATTAGTCTCTCTGAGCCTCGGTTTCCAGAAAATGGGGACGAAAACAGCACCTATTTCTCACGGCTGTTAAGAATTAAACAAGCTGCTGAATGCGAATGAGCCCCGAGCAGCCCCACAAATGCCTCCTCTATCCAAACAGAAGGACAACTACCTGTGTTCTTAAAGAAAGAAACCTTTGCATGACAAATCAGAAAAGCAAACTGGTTTTTGAAAAACAAAAAAACGTTTATTTCTGTAAACTGTTTGAGTGCAGAGATGTTCCTCACAACCCCAATACAGTACAGATTTCTTCCCCAAAATGAAATGAGCAAGGAAAAAAAGAAAAAGAACTATATAAAATGCGCTCATGAAGAACCAAGCCAATCTCATCTTTCTTTAGAAACAAAACAAAATAAATCCTTTTGCGTTTGTGGCGCAGGTCTAGGATTGAAACCACAGACTCCCAGGTGGCCGTGAGTGCCATCCCCACTGCTCGCAGGGACCTCGCCGAAGGGACAGAATCGGTTCTCAGTGCTACCTAAATTCCTGCTCCCCACCCTGGGCCTCTCTCCCTAACATCTCGTCACTTTGAGAGCCCCTGAGGTTATCCCTGAAATATTCCTCCTGTCAACTCTGGACTCAGACTTTGCCTCCTTTCCAAGCCACAAGGAAATCTCAGTCACAAGGGTGGGAATGGGGGTTTTAGACCATGCAGCAAAGCCCCTGCCAGGCAAGTTTTAAGGCAAATTTTATCTTATTCGGTCCGGGCCAGACCTACACTTGTCACCACCCAGCAATGCTGTCGCTATTGTCGAACAGGTAGCGCAGGCAACTCTGAGTGGGGCCAGGTGACCCGGAGCCAACTCTAGCAGGTCTGCGGTGGCCCCGCGGGATAAATGCGTGTGCTTATGAAGGCTGCAGTTGCGGCGCAGCTCGGCGGTGACCGGGAGGCTGAGCAGCAGGAAACCCAGGTGGCGGCCCCAGCCCAGGCTGAGGAAGCCACTCGAGGTGGTGGCGAAGCCCACGGGGCAGGCCTCGTCGCGTATAAGAGAAATGTCAGGAAAAGTGGTCACCACTGTAGGCCCCTGCGATCTGATGACATGCAGGACCTTGGCATCCAAATGATTTTTCTTTAGAACAAAAAAGAAGGAGGGAGAAAGAAAAAGATCAAAGAAAGATATTCCATGAGCTTCATGAGATGGGACGCAGCGGGGTTTGACGGGGAAGCGGGAAGGGGTCTGGGGTGCGGACACGGGGTGGCGGGCGCTGCCTCTCGTGGCTTCTCCTCTGCCTGGTGGGCTGGTGGCCGAGGCCGGCGGTCCCCTCCCCCGGGGAGCAGGCGATGACTCTGGCGAGGAGGGCGGGGCTATTCCGTCTGGGCGTCGTAATTGGCTCCGCCCGCCTTCTTCAGCTCGCTCTTGATGAAATCCTCCTCCAGCTCCTTGCGGTCGCTGATCACAAACTCTTTAGCGAAATTCTGCAACGACAGAAACACACACTGTTCCATTAAGAAGAAAACGACGTGATCCAAGTGCGGCTCCGGCAACACGCTAGGAAGCGTCGGCGCCTGACACAGGAGCAAGTGATCACAACGAAAACCTGGCAGCGGATGACTGGCAGAGAAAGTACGTCTGGAGGTCGGGGCCTGGGTGCAGGCGAGACGCGGGGATGGGCCAGGGGAGCTAGGCTGGAGTTCTGGCTCTGCCCCCTTCCGGCTGCGTGACCCCGGGCAAGTCCCTTCAACGCCCTGTGCCTCAGCTTCCCCATCGGTGTCGGGAGAGTAATAGGTCATGAGGCTGGGAAGGCAGGGATGTGCTGGTAAGTGTTTAACACCCAACTCTCCAAGAAAAAGACACGGAGGAGGAAAGCTCTGACCTGCGGCGTTTGCCCATTTCCATGGTGTAAATATTCTATGCCCACAGTGGCTGCGTCACCATACGTGGAGTTGGGAAGAGACAGGCACGACTGGTTCTCTCGGCCACCGCTGGTGGCAATGGTGCGGGGCTTCCAGTCCCGGGTCTGAGTGACCAGCCTGGGCACGTACTGGGCTGTCCAGCCACACTCAGCTACTTGAGGGCAGGGGCTTTGTTTGCATTCATTCAGCAAATACCATTCCACATTATGGGACTACAGCAAAACGGGTACACAGGTTTCGGCCATATAACCCACAGGCCTGGCAGTCACGAGGCAGCTGGTGAATGTTCGTGGCGTGAATGAGTGAAGCGGGGGATTCGGCTGATCAGATAACCCTGAACTATGAAGCTAAACAGTCACTGTGACGCGTGGATCTGAGACTTTAATAAGCAAAGCAAATTTCAGGATGGTGACAGACAGGAATACAGGCAAAGCTACCAAAACTACAAATAACGCGTCTAAAAGTCAGAAAATCATCCACGTGCAAAAAGTCCACAAGGAACTAATGTGAACAATGACGACCGTCGCTAAGTACTTAATGTGCACCAGGCACCGTGTTGTGGTGCTGAGAATGACACACATTAGCAAATGTCATTCTCAAAACACTTTGATAGGGCTGGGCGCGGTGGCTCACACCTGTAATCCTAGCACTCTGGGAGGCCGAGGCGGGCGGATTGTTTGAGCTCAGGAGTTTGAGACCAGCCTGAGCAAGAGCGAGATCTCGTCTCTACTAAAAAAAATAGAAAGAAATTAATCGGACAACTAAAAATATATAGAAAAAAAAAAATCAGCCGGGCACAGTGGCTCGTGCCTGTACTCCCAGCTACTCGGGAGGCTGAGGCAGTAGGATCGCTTGAGCCCAGGAGTGTTAGGTTGCTGTGAGCTAGGCTGACGCCACGGCACTCACTCTAGCCAGGGCAACAGAGTGAGACTGTGTCTCAAAAAAAAAAAAAAGAAAGAAAGAAAAAAAACCACTTTGATAGGACCCAGCAATTCCACTCCTAGAGATCTGCCCAAAGAGGTGAAAGCGTACACCGCCCCACCTGTGAACACAGGTGCACGCAGCATTCTGACACCCGAAACGGGGAAACCACCCAGTGTCCGCCAACAGATGAGCAGATAGCCAAAACCTGGTCTAGCCACACGCTGGAATGTCACTCAGCCTGGCAAAGGAATGAAGTCCTGCTACGTGCTACAACACGGATGAGCCGCCAAACGTGACGCTAAGTGAAAGAAGCAAGTCACAAAAGGCCACACTTTGTCTGGTTCCATTTATGTGAAATGTCTGAAAAAGGGAACTCCATAGAGACAGAAAGCGGATTAGTGCTCTGGTGACCAGGGGCTGGAGAAGGGAACAGAAGATGATAGAAATGTTCTAAAATTGGGACTGTGGCGATGTTTGCACAAGTCCGCAAATTTACTAAAAATCGCTGAACTATACACTGAGGATGAGTTAATTTTGCAGTATACAAATCATACCTCAATACAGTTGTTTTTTAAGAAATCCTGTAAGATAATCAATATTTTTTCCATTTTAAAGACGAGAAGACAAAAGACAGAGGTTACAATACTTGCCCAAAGTCACACAGCTAAAGGGTCCAGTTGACCCCAAAGCTGGCATCTTACAAGAGTCACCTTCTCCTTTTGGGGTAAGGAAAGTGTTTGGGGACCAGATAGAAGGGGTGGTTGCACGACATTGTAAATGTACTAAATGGCATTGAACCGTACATTTTAAAATGGTTAATTTTATGTTAAGGGAATTTCACCTCCATTTAAAAACAAAGCAAAACCAAAAAAGTCACCATTCTACCGAGAAGAATGACTAAACCAGGAGAACCAAGGTCAAGTTTTACAGTAAAAAGGCAAACATCTGGCGTGCAAAGCCACCAAGAATGCTAACAGGGAGGGAGGCGGGACGTTAATACTTATCAAGCAGCTGATAAGTGCTAGTCACAGCCTCCCACGTTCTCTCATCCTCCCTCGGTTTATTGGCTTTTTTTTTTTTTTAAGATAAGAACCCCAGGGCTGGGCTTGGAGAGATTTGCCCAGAATGACAAAACACCGTGCCCTTCCGCCACGCCGTGTTACTAATGTCATGCATATGGCCAGTGCAAGAGAGAACACAAGCTGAGCTAAGAGCCAGAAAGGAGAATTGAGAACCCATGCGTTTCTCAACCCAAGATGCAGGGGCGTGAAGAGGGGGCAGAGAGCACTCAAGCACCCAGGAGCAGGAAGCCGAAAGCTCAGGATGCCTGCAGAAGGAAGTCCAAGGTCCTCGGCTTTGCGATAGCCATATATGGCCGTCTAAAGAAGCAAGAACACTTGATGTTCCTGTCGGTTAGCTATTAGAAGATGTGGGTTAAGAAGTAAGTTTGATAAGGTCTAAAAATCTACAGTGAAGTATTTATGGAGCTATGTGCAGTCCAACCTAAAACCACAGGTACACGGGAAATCAAATTATAACCAAAATAAGCAGCAAAACAGGTAGCAGAATCTAGTAAAATACGACATAACAATAAATGTAAATGAACGAAATTACCTTTAAAAATGCTATGTTTCAAATGACAAAAAAAAGCAACCCCAAACCCTATGCCACACACCAGAAACATGTTTAAAACCAAAAGATTAGCAAAAAATGATGCCACATCATAAAAAGTATATATAGAGAAAAGTAACCATAGGCCGGGCGTGGTGGCTCACACCTGTAATCCTAGCACGCTGGGAGGCTGAGACAGGAGGATCCCTTGAGCCCAGGAGTTCAAGACCAGCCTGACCAAGAGCAAGACCCTGTCTCTACTAAAAACAGAAAAATTAGCCAGGTGTGGTGGTGCACGCCTGTAGTCCCAGGTACTCAGGAGGCTGAGGCAGGAGGAGGATCGCTTGAGCCCAGGAGTTTGAGGTTGCTGTGAGCTGTGATGATGCCACTGAACTCTAGCCAGGGCAACAAAGCAAGACAAGGAAAGAAAAGGAAAGGAAAAAGAAAAAGAAAAAAAAAGAAACCATATGATCTCTGAAAATATTTAAAACAAACCGGATCTCACAAGAAAAACAGGCCACCATGCAACCGGATGGCCCTTCTGGATCAGCCCAGTGTCCCTTCCTCTCTACCTCAGTAGAAAACCGAATGGAAGATTATTTTGTCCACAGAAGGCATGTTCTTATAGTCACCGCTTACAGGTCTTAAAAGACAGTCATCCAGTGATCCGATTACTTCCAAAAAGAAGGGTTACAGATCAAGTGTCTTAACACAGTCAACTAGCTCACGCCTCAAAGTCCTGCCTTATCTTAACATTTCATTTCCGTTTATCCTCAGAAAGACACCGGAGAGTCAGACTGTGCACAATCGAGTCCTTCTTCGTTCTTTACTGAATTTTTTTTCTCTTCTAATGACCAGGACAGGCACTTGAAACCTGCCGTCACCCCTCCGTTGAGGGAGGCCCAGGGAGAGACCCAGAGAGGGTGAGTCCATCACCCCTCGGCACGGCAACGGCACGGCGGGGCCCTACACTGCCCGGCCCCCGAGGCTGTCGAAGCAGAAGGAACCCCTCAGAGACGCCAGAGCAAAATGTGCCGGGGTGGGGGCACTGTCATCTGTGCTTGCAGAAAGATTTTCTTTGTTTTGTCTGGGAACATGGTGGTCCTCTCTGGCAGCTCCCAGACAAGGGATTTTTCCCTTTTTGGCCACAACGGGACTTTTCAAAGGAAGAGGCCCCATCCAGCTCAGCCACCATCAAAATGGGCTGGAAATGTACAACCACCAAGTCGAAGACGAGTTTTGTTCCCGTGACCTTCCTCAAGTGCACCTATGTTCGTGCCTCAAAGATGCAAAGCAGACGTTGGCCCCTTTCCTGCGGAAGGTGCTCTGGCAAAGGATGAGGGTCAGGGACCAGCCGGGGCTCTGTGCAGAGTCGAGCATGTTTGCAAGGCTGGTTTAAAAAGTGCACACGTAGTTCCCATCCTTGGCTTTAAATCATGCCTTTCCTTTTTAAATGGCTCCCAACTCCCTGGGTTTAAACCCCAGAGTGCTGGGAGTAGGTTTGGGCCAAATACAAACAGGGACAGTTGTCTGCACGTCCCTCCAGCAGCCTGGCCCTCCCCGGGGACTCACCCTCCCCGAGCTCAGTCTCATTATCTGCAAATAGGGACGGTAACAGCCCCTGCGTCCCGGGGCTGCTGTGAGGATCTTGTGAGCATGCAAAGGGCTTGGACACTTGACGAGCGTGCTCGGTACAGAGTGAGTGACATTTTACACGACTGCGGGCTTCCCTTCATCCTCAAGATTGGAGGGGAATTTAAGACACAAAGAAGTTCTCGGAACTACTCAGAGCAAAGGCTGGTTCCTCTTCTCTCCATTCCCAGTGTTTATTTTTCAGCGAAGGAAAGTCCCAGGAATTCCTCTGAGTAACCAAGGCGTTGACACTGGTGGAGGGAAGACGGTAAATCCAGCTGCAAACCCAGAGGCTGGGCCCGGGGTTGGCTGCAGGAGAACAGGGAGGAGCTGTCGGGGTGGAACTGTCAGGTCTTCTACTTAGAGCGTCCGGACTGCGGAGTCTTCCTCACCAC